AGAGAGAGAGAGAGAGAGAGAGAGAGAGAGAGAGAGAGAGAGAGAGAGAGAGAGAGAGAGAGAGAGAGAGAGTACTTAGGTGTTATGAGGCTCTCCTCTTCGAATCCGTGTTTCCTCATGCTAGGACCCTAGCTTACATGGGACACAGCTTCTGACACTCTTGCTCTTCATCCCAGGAATGATGGGACTTGAGGAGTTCAGCAATACGAGTGAGCATTTACATTTACATTTACTGTTGAAAATCGGTTATTGTGCTTGCTGTCCTATTCTGGCATTTCAATTTTTCTTTGCATAGAACTTGATACAAAACGATAGAATCGTAGCCGGGAAAGAAAACGGCACTGCCACACAGTGAGAGTGTTCCCCTTCCCATCAGATTCCTTTCCAGTAAAGCCTTCGTGGAATCCAGCTGATCGTAACTACGGCGAGATTCAGTTGGGAGCTTCCCAGTCCATTGTCCATTTGCGCCCCCTCACCGCGACTCCGTCAACCAGCTGCCGTGGGTTCCAGACCAATCCTAAACCCTATGAGTTAGCATGCTGGCGCCTTTCGACTACAAAGCAGCATCGCAGCTTTTTGGCTATGTTGGTGCAGACCACGGTCCATGGTTCAAAGTATGCTATACCCTATGATGATGAGACGCCATGGCGGTGCCTTATCACGAATGCGCGGGCTATGGTGAGTTGGTGGTGCTCTACAGCAACACAGCAGCAGCTATCTCTTCAAGGTAGCAATCAACCGCTGCTGCCTCTCATCGCTCCACTTCTCCTACTGAGACAAAACAGCACCTGCCTGGAGTGTCTTCGGTCGAACTGCGCGGCGGGTTTGTTCAAGAGAGACTTGGACTGGTCGTAAACCGAGATAAAATAAAATTGAGGCCTGAAGATATGCCTTTGCAGCTGCACCTCTGGTGAATTTGTTTGCTTGGAATTGTCCATGAGTGTCAACTACTGCCATGTCTGTCTTTATCTGACGTCGGCAAGCTCAGAGTCTGCAATTGGGAGTCCCTGACCTCTGTTCTGCAACCATTGGACGCAGGACCTCCAGGGTCCTCCACGATAATCGACATGCAGTCGCCGCGGTTCTGACACCTGATCCGTTGCTTCACACCGACCATCAAGTCAATTTGAAAACTCACTTTGTAAATTCCCCCCCTTTTCTGAGAGCTCCAACATTGACCGAATCGGGCCGGCCACGTGTCATTTCTGACAATTTTCTGTCCTTGCTAGTTCCTGGCGTTTTCAACGTGCGCTCCTTCCGCTTTTAGCACATGCTTTCTGCCCACTTCCTGTCCTTCCGTGCTGTCTCCTCACAAACACACACGATGTCTGCATCAAGTTGAAGTCCACATATTTGGGTTCTCTCCGCCCCCTTCGCCTCCGATGTCCTTCTATGTCCTCCAGAGTCCTGCGGGACCGCCTTAACGAGAGTTCATCTCTTTATGGTGGCTCTCTGGGGTGTGGTTGGCAGAGAATCCCCGTGCGATCGCCTTCCCGAGAGTTCGTCATAGCGAGTGGCTGCCGCCGTGTCTTCTCATAGTTGCTGCAAATAATATTGTCGGTATTTCTCAGCGGTGATATTTTTTAACCTTACGCCCTCCGCCAGTTTCCTCCCCCATGGGCGTATCGCCAATAATGGTCTCCACCCAGCCTGAGGATCTGCGCTTCGCTGCAGCAAAAACACCTTTCAGCTGCGTGGGCACGGGGTTTCCTTCAAGGCCTGTGGAAATAAGTAAGAATTCAGCGACCAACACCACCTGGAATTCAGGCGGACAGCTCCTCTTCAATCTGTTTTGTGTTGACGTGGGTCTGGAAGTACTGGATTGGCAGCAGTGCTCTGCACACAACAGACGACAGCGAGCTAGTATCAAGTCCTGCCGGACCACAAGCCCTCCCGGCACCACTGCTGTCATCGCTCTCAATAATCTTCGGCTCTTCGGCAGGTCCGATGCGTCCTCGCAGACTCCTCACTGACAGACGCTACTGCTGGTTCGATGTGAGCTGTTGTAGTACAGACTTGAGCTCGGGATCTATGCAGCGCGGCATATGCCTTCTTTTTTTTTTGTGTGTGTGTGTGTGGCAAAGCGACATAGGCTGCCTAAAGTAGTTTATAGTAAATTAAATTTATATGGCACGGAGTGCGGGGGGACGGGAAGGAGAGAAGTTGAAGTTGTCTTCGGTGTGCGGCATCACCAGGAGGTATACCTGAGGTCCAAAGCTATGCCAGAAGCCAGTGGCCAATAGCCAACAGCCGATGTTATGCAGCTCTGGACCTCCTGCTGCAGTTCTGTGCTAAGGAGATCATCTTGGGTGGTTGCCCCCGTCTGCTATCTCTTGGGGCACCTATCTCTTAGGGCAACGGCGCAGGCACTTTCCAGCAAGATGTTGTTTTCACGTAGAGGCTCTGCTGGAATGCGTACAGATCTCAGTTCTGCAGCTGGATGGTTTTCCATACTCAGACTCGGTTTGATTTTTGTCTTTTTCCATGCAGCACTGCAATCGGTCTCCACTTGCCGGTGGGATGTTGATGCCTTCTCGCTCTGATTATCACCACTCTTTACATGAGAGAGAGAGAGAGAGAGAGAGAGAGAGAGAGAGAGAGAGAGAGAGAGAGAGAGAGAGAGAGAGAGAGAGAGAGAGATCTTAGGTCTTTGTGAGGATGGTGTACTTTGTGGATGGTTTTAAATGACGTCAGATGAAATTAGGTGACATTTGTTTCATTATGTTCGTTTGTCTAACGAATTNAGAGAGAGAGAGAGAGAGAGAGAGAGAGAGAGAGAGAGAGAGAGAGAGAGAGAGAGAGAGAGAGAGAGAGAGAGATCTTAGGGCTTTGTGAGGATGGTGTGCGTTGTGGATGGTTTTTAGATGACGTCAGATGAAATTAGGTGACATTTGTTTCGTTATGTTCATTTGTCTAACGAATTCGGTCCATTCTTTGCATGTGTAAATGAGAGAGAGAGAGAGAGAGCGTAGGGTATTATGAGAATGGCGCACTTGTGTAGATGGTTTTCTACACGACGTCAGATGAGCCCAGATGACATTATTTCATGACGTACATTTGTTCAATGAATCCGCGGTGCGTGAAAAAAACTTCAGAAAAGACGCTCGATTTGCAGTTACAAAAAAAAGTCAAATTGCTGACAGGACAGTTCTCCCTGGAGTTGCACTTGTGAACATTCACTCCCCTCTTGAAGGGGCTGAAGCCAAATTTGTCGCCGAGTTCGAACCCATGGTGGAACGATGGGATGGGACCATCTGGGACTGAATCTTCGTGAAGATTCTGAAGTTTGCGGTGTGACCACATTCTTTGTGCGCTGGGTGGAGCTTCCTTCCGGGACACCTAAACTCACGAGCTGCTTGTGCACTGGGCAATTGTTTTCTCACTCCTGGTTCAACTCAGTCGGTGTACGAGGACTCGTACCTGACCGTAGTTAACCTTATCGGTTATCTTTGGTCATTCTGGATCGTCTTCCCTTTCCTAATGGAGTAACTGCTCAGGGTAGTAGTCGTTCATTTCTTTCACCGGTGCCGTTAATTTTCATCGAATGTAGTCGGATTTCTGCGAGGCAAGGTTGACACACGCAGGCAAGGAAAACGGAAATTAGAAAGTTTTGCTTCCAAGTCGGTGGAGGACAGAAAGGGTTCTTGGTGGGGTCTGTCTTGGTCGTGAGGTATGTGGACGTGAGCGCGTTCATCATCTGGAGGTCATAATCGTCTTCATCGTCTCGAGTTGTTAATCAATATGCCATTTTTTAAAATTGAAAGTATTTTGGATTTTTTTGGTTGTGTTCGGTATACTATTTTTCGTATTGTGTTGTCTTTCGGTACATTTTGCTGCCTTCCCTTCTCCAATTAATTGAATAATAAAGAAACTACAAAATTACAAAACGACAACGAGCATCTTTCTAACCTATGTGACGGTCCGAATGCTGTGAACATGTGTGCGCGTTCGACGTGGGCGTTCACACGGGTGGGGGTCGCATTCAAACACGCTATGCGCCATGTGGCACAAAATTTTTGAATGTGGCCCCGCCATTCACATGTGCACGTCGAGGAATACCTGGTGGGGGACCTCGTACCTGCATATTTCCATGTTCTAGCGGAAGATTCATTCGATTTTGCTCATCCTATCGATGGAAGAAGTGTGAGGCCAGCCACAGGGTTGGAGACTTACCTGTTGGCCAGTGCGTTGCTCATCCTCTCGATGGAAAACTCTCTCTCTCTCTCTCTCTCTCTCTCTCTCTCTCTCTCTCTCTCTCTCTCT